CACAAGGATCTATTATACGCAGTCTTACCCTACATTTTTGCAAGAGGCTGTTTCCACGGCTTGAACCCGTGACCTCCTGGTCACATGACAGCAACTTTACCAGTTTTTACGGCATCTCGTACTCAAATATAATGAGATGCCAAATTGGTGTAAAGGGTTAGAGTTGGGCTAATATCTATCAAAAGGCTAGTTTAAATGCATGCCCAAGATTGCTCAACCACACCTTTTCTTCATTCTCTTCTTTCACCAACCTTATATGCATTAATAATGAAAAGACAGTTCACAGAATTTCTGTTTCATTGCCTTCCTTCTTAGTGATTGATATTGAAGCAACATTCTTGAATTGTTCATACATTCATTCCCTTTCAAATGGCAATAAGTGAAGAGGCAATTGCTCCTGTTATAGGGAGTCAGTATACACTATTATAATCACTGAACACAAACCCTTTCTCAATGTAAAAACAATGTATGCCAATTCCTAACATAGCATTAGTGATTTTGAACAGTCGCTTATGACCAGTGTCGTACGCAAATTTTTATATAAATGGTGTCATAATTTGAAAAAATGAACAAATGAATTAATCATTATAATAATAAGCGGTGTCATTTTCTATATGTATTTTCAATATTTACATTTTTCTTATAAATATCTAGTGAAAAATTTCGATCAAGCGGTATCCCGTGACACCACATGGTATAAGGTGCATATGCCCCTACTCATGGCACCACCGATAGGTGTGGAGAGATGGTTATAGTTTATTTAATATATTAGTCGAATCATTAAGTTTTGAATACCAAATATTCAAAGAAGAAAGCAAAAAAAAAAAACAATAGTTTTTAACATTTTCAAACCAAAACATAAAATGTTATTTGTTCACATGTTATTGTACTTGCCCTTGGTATATAGTTCACCCAAACATAATGCAAGAATATTTTTATGAATTAATTAAGAAAATAAATATTTAACAAATAGAAGGAAGTGCGTACGTAATGGAAGAATGTACAGATCACCAAACATGTATAACAATCAATAGGAGCTTAAAATCATTGCCTAATTGATTTAATCATTGGATCATCATTCGGGCACATCTGTAATCACATAGATTTTCCAGGGAATATATACTGTAAAGCCTAGAAAACGATTTTATATATATATAATAAGTTTTCATAAAGTTAGATATATATTTCATAACCATTACATCTAAATTGTAAATCTCTACTATGACCACTATATTAATGTACAGTGTCCTATACTGTGACAAATGTCTTTGCTTTTATTTTAATTGCTCCAAAATACCCAAGTAATTTACTGAATTCTATAGTTGTAGGACAGGTACAGGTGAAAAAAGACACCCCACTCCCCAAACATGATGCTTGAATGAATTATATCTATCAGGTTGTTTGGTTCAAAATCAGATTATTTTGAGATTATATTTAAGATTATAATTCTGAAATTATAACTAAAATATTTATTCCACCTTCAATATGATATAGATAATCCCATGATTATAATATTAAAGTTATCTTCATTTTAGCTACCCTTAATCAAATAAAGATAAATTCAATTTCAAATTTTCTATGGGTAATGGGGATAACTCACTTAATCGTATAACTTGTTTTTTTTTTTGCCTCTCAAATCTATATGCACGATTGGCTTGGTAAAAGATGTTGTCAGAAACACTGTATATCCTGATGTCTAGGTCCTATCATATTTGTTTTTTAACCCCAATTTGGGGCGACAATGTATTTCTGTTACCCATTATTGTGCTAATAATTGGTGATCAACAAATGACACAAGTTTCATGCTTTTCAACTTCAACAAATTACTCAAGTATTAAATCTGTCTTTTGGAAAGAAAGAAAAATAAGCAAAACTTCATCGCAGGGGCTGTCAAGGGATTCATACGATGCAAAATCCGATTTGTACATTATATTTTGAATTCTCTTAATATAGCCCAAAAATATAGCTCAATGGTCAAGGGGTTCAAAACTTTTGTAAGGTCACTGGTTTAATTTTCACTGGCCATAGTCTCTTTTAATTTTTTAATTTTTTCTTTTTCTGAATCCCCTTAATAAAATCCGGCCTCCGTCACTTCTTCATCAGCTACCATATCTCTTGTTTGTTCAGAATTAAATATTTTAGGAAATATTCAATCATTAATGATAATTACAGTAGTTGTTGTTGTTGTAGTACTGCCTTTAATATATACAAACTGGACAAAATAAGTGAATATGGTATTCTTTTGGTTGGTTTTGAATAATTTAATTTATAAGATTTTCAGTTCATATGATAAATCGATCGCTTAGATTTCTATTTTTTCGTTAGGATCAAATATGTTTAAAGTACATCCTATCAAAAACAGAGAAAAGGTTGGGAAAAATCCTAAATGAGTTGAGGTTTGCTGTCCGTTCTTACGAGGGCATCTTTGAACTTGAAAGCAGTATACTTCTTCTATGGCCAGTCTACAGCTTCAACCACAAAAGACTGAAAGAGAAAAGAATCCTCTACTCAAAGATAATACAATTGAAAATATTACTTTCTTTTTATGGTGATATTTTTAACAGAAAACATTTTTAAAAAGGTAGAAAGCTTTATGAGTGCACCTTTGCGAGTGCACCCACTATAACTTTTGTGATAGAGTGTACTTGTCAAACATATACTTATGTGATTCTTGAGAAATGCCTGCATAATAAGTAGTTCGGAAGTAAATGCACTAGCCATCAATGTCCGTAGCCGTCAAAATGAACTTGGCCTGACCCTAAACCAACCTATCGGTTCGGGGTGGGATTGGGTTAAAATTGTTCAGCCCAATTTAAACCTGAGGCCATCAAGCTCAGGTCTAGTCAGTCCCCTACCTCATGAGGAAGGGTTGGCGTGGCTAATGAGAGCTAATTTTAGAAAAAATATTTAAAGTGATTTTGAGTAAGCAACAACAACAACCTAATAAAATCTCATAAGTGGGGTCTAGGGAGGGTAGTGTGTACGCAGACCTTATCCTTACCCCGAAGGAGTAGAGAGGCTGTTTCCGAAAGACTCTCGGCTCAAGAAGACGGAAAAGACGAAAAGAGAAGGAAAAGGACAATATATTAGTACTATCAAACAGAAACCAAAGAAATAATATTAGCATCATAAGAACTAGAAAATAATTGAAATGCAATAACAAAACCAGAAAATAAGCTCGATGCTATGAAAACATAAGGATAGGGAGAACACAACATAAACCCCTAGCAGTCTAAGACCACCCCTATCGAACTAGCCTCACCCCTGGACTCGACTACGTCCTAACCTACAACCCTAATACTCGACCTTCACACCTTCCTATCAAGGGGCATGTCCTCGAAAATCTGCAGCAACGTTATGTCCTGTCTAATCACCTCTCCCCAATACTTCTTAGGCCGTCATCTACCTCTTCACGTCCCCGCCAGGGCCAAACTCTCGCACCTCCTCACCGGAGCATCACGGCTCCTCCTCCGCACGTGCCCGAACCATCTGAGCATCGCTTCCGTATCTTGTCATCCATAGGAGTGAGTCACGCCCACCTTCTCCCGAATAACTTCATTCATAATCTGATCCATCCTAGTATGCCCGTACATCCACCTTAACATCTGCATCTCTGTCACTTTCATCTTCTGGATATGAGAGTTCTTAACCTGCCAACACTCTGCCCCATACAACATGGTCGGTCTAACCATAACTCTATAGAACTTACCTTTGATTAACGGTGGCACTCTCTTGTCACACAGGACTCCTGATGCTAACCTCCATTTTATCCACCCCACCCCTATACGGAGTGTGACGTCCTCATCAATCTCTCCGTCCTCTTGGATAATCGACCACAGGTACTTAAAACTACTTCTCTTGGGGATGACCTGTACTCCAAGCCTCACGTCCATGCCCACATCCCACGACTCGACGCTGAACTTGCATTCCAGATATTTTGTCTTAGTCCTGCTCAACTTGAAACCCTTAAACTCAAGGGTGTGCCTCCAAACCTCTAGCCTGTCGTTAACACCGCTTCGTGTCTTATCAATCAAAACTATGTCGCCAGCGAATAAAACACCGGTAAAATAAAAGTTTCTTGAGAAGTGAGTGTATCTAGCCCTATACTTCCACTTTAGAGAGCTATTAATATTGACCCCACAACCCCTCTTCTTATTTTTAATGTTTGAATGCGTGCAATTAATGGAACTCGTTTACATCTTATTTGAAAAAATCGGAGAAATATAGCTGCAAAAACTTCAAATTGTGAGTTGCGCCTCTATGCTTCAGAAAAAACATCAAATTGTGATGGTCAGTCTCGATTTTAAGCTGTCCACTTTGTAAGTAATGTCTCTATTTTCCTACGGCATGTGAGACTATTACGAAAGGTGGATAAGCTCAATTCTTAGTGCAAAGGTTACAGGTTCACATGAACTCATTAACTTTTACCTTGTATTTATACTAAAAGAATTCATTAAATGTATAAAAATTTATATCTGAAACACAATTCATTGGTTTAATTATCATTATACATTAACTTGAGATCGTTATACGAACTCATTAACTTAAAATTCTGGATCCACATCTAGCTTGTAAGGCTTAGGAAAACTATGGTCTAACCTCTTTCGGTAGAACAACTCCATCTCACTTATACTAGCATTGGTTTCTATAATAAATGTTCTGATGAAATCTGCCTAGAAGAAATCCAATCCATGAGCTTGTGTCATGGCTCTCATAAGAACACACAAGGATCTCTTAGCCTCATCACTCCATTTAAAGGAACTACTCTCTAGGAAACTAGTTAATATGCAAAATGTATGATCCTTGAGCCATGTTAACATTCGAGATCCAGCACTATTCCAGTTAGTTCCCCTTTTGACAGCAACAGTATCGTAGGTTGAGCTGTAGTTCTTAATCTGGAGAAATAACAATGACAGAGCAACAGTATCGTAGGTTGAGCTGTAGTTCTTAAACTGGAGAAATAACAATGACAGAGCACAATACAGACCAGGTGCTTGAGATAAGGAAAATAGCCACCATTCGAAAGTAAAGATAGCAGCTCGTATTTACGGTTGTTTCATTATATTGAAGTTGATATATAATGAATAAATAGCTGCTAGTACAGCATAACAAAGATGAAATAAAAATGAATTCAAATTTACAGCTCCAAAACACCATCATATACTATTTGACCTCTATTTCCCGCCTCCTTTTTCTTCTGTCTCCAGCAAAGAATATAACATAAAGTAAAGAACAATAAGACCCAAAAAGTCTACCATAGAAGAATAGAGGAAATGGAAACAATAAGACCCAAAAAGTCTACCATAGAAGGATAGAGGAAATGGAATATGGTGAGTATATATTGACTAATTTTTGTAGCTGGCTTTGTCATTCTATCCCATACGAATACCTCATCGAGAAGGACTTCATCCTGAAGCTTTCCGAACAGCAGGCAGCCAGTGCTATGCGCTTACTTACATTACAATGTTGAGAGCTTCCTGCAGACCTGTCCAAGTTAGTAGAGCTTAACATACACAAGTGTGGCTAAACCCCACTCTAAATAGTAAATACCATGAAACCTTGGCTTGCGGAATTATTTGGAGAAATTTTTCTTCTTTTGATAAAGGAAATTTTTCAGAGAATCTTAACTAAAAGTATACTTTATTCTTAAAATTTTGGGAATGATTTTGAGTGACTAGTAGCACTTTGATCATATCATATACACTCATACTTCCTAATGATGCCACATAC